GATTTAGAGGATCTAACAGATATTTTGAAACACTTATAAATATCTTGTATATGGGTTGCACTGCACCTCTTGGTACTTGTGAATATAATTCATATTTTATTTAAAAACAATTGTAATCGAACATGTTAAAAAAGTTAGAAGAAATGCTTATTGTTTTTTTTTTTCTGCTTAAGACTTTCTATAAGAACCTAAGCAAACGTTTTTGAACTCTATTAAGCAGGTAAATTACTTACAAGTTTTTATTTTATTACTCCCAGACATCCTCTTTATATTGAAAGTAATGGAGTGGTTTGTTTTTCGTTTCTTGTCTCTTTTTTAGCTTTTATGTGTCAATTGGGTACTTTATTTTTGGTCGCCTTTCCATCCTTGCTTTCGTTGTCATCTTAAGGCTCATACCTTTCTCTCTTTCATCTTAGGGATATTAAATGTGCAAATATACTGGTGGATGCAAGTGGATCAGTAAAACTTGCAGATTTGGATGGCAAAGGTCTTTCCACACTCACATAATTCAATATCTTACTTGTGTCTGGTAATTCCTGAAATGGTTTTAATTCCTTTTGCTAATACTGATATTTGTGCTGATTTTCAGGCAACCAAATTCAACGATGTCAAGTCTTGCAAGGGTACTGTTTTCTGGATGGCTCCTGAGGTTTGTCTTTAGCCTATCTGATATTCGAATTAAAACACCACGTCCTCTTGCTACTTAGGTCTTGGATGAATTGATTCGGGACAAACTATGTATACTGTTCAACTACTAGCTTATATTGAGTGCATTATATGTTGGGCTTTTGTTAAAGTGATGCATATTCTAAACTACTGTCAGGTACTTTTAACATGTACTGGGTAATTGTTAGTGTAAGAATACAAAGAAGAGATGGTTAGATAATGGAGAAGAATAAGGAGAAGAGTAACGAAGGGAAGAAGGCTTGAAAAGACTTCGGTTGAAAAGATTTTTCTTGACTATTAAGACTTACCATGTTGAAATTATGTGATATAGAGTATTTAAAAACTTATAGAAACAAGATTCACCAGAAAATTGTCTGAAACCCCTCCATGGAAACAGTATGGTGGAGGAGGAAAACCCTAGCTGCTCCTCTCAAAATGGCCAGTCAACTTGAAGACCCTTCTTCTAACCCTAATCGCCACTTAAATAGCAGCCCTGGATTTCTGCCACGTTACCCCTAACTATCCCCGAATAGAGCCATGTATCCTGCTCACTTTCTGCTTATGCTAATTCTTGACACGTGTTAGCTAGTTGCTTTCCGTTTATAAACCCTTATCGTTTTTGTTCCAGTGCTTGCTGTTCCATTTTTAACCTCGTGAGCTTCCTTTTGTTCTCTGCTTCCGATTCTATTTTTTCTCTCGTGACCTTGCTTCATTCAATTCCATCCCTTGGAGAAGAAACCTTGTCCTTTGAGGTTTCAATATGGAAATTGCTTCAATAGATATTAGAGATCTTCTCATGCTTCATCTTCCTAAACATTGTTCTCAAGGTAGGCAAATTCTTGATGTCGCATTTATTACCAATGAGGTGGTGGATGATTTGGTGTACAGGAA